GGGGGGGGGGGGGGGGGCGGAGCGGTATTGGGAAGCGAGGGGATGGCTTGCAGAAGGGGCTGGCAGAGAAAGTGCAGGAGGAGGGGTAATGGGCTAGTTCCATGGCTGGACACAAAAAGCGCAGGGCCCAAAAAGACTGGCCAGCTCGGGAGCGAGGGGAACGAGAGCAAGGACTCGCCATCCCACACATGGCTCACCATTCGGGCCTTGTCCTCGAGCAGTAGTCCCCCCTCCCATGGTCCGATCAACACTCGAGGGGGAGGGGGCGGACGTGCGATATGTGCCAGGAGGCCCATTACTGCGTGACTGGGAGAAAAGTGATCGGGTCGCCCCCTGCCAGTTTCCGCCGCCCCGAAACACAAGCCCAGGTCCAGGCAAGTCCATGTGCCCCGACCAGGTGCCAACGCCTCGTAAGCAGCCGCCTCGCCCGGCTCACCACGCCCCATTCGGCACCAACTGTTGAGGAAGAAAAAAAGATGAGTAGGGAGATGGCCGCACACACACACCATGCGGCGAAAGCGGCAAGAAAACAGTGCATTGGAAGACAGTGTATTTCCCTGAAGAGGGACAAGAACAGGCTATAACAGAGGCAGGAAGGTATGTGAGGGGAGAGAGAGGGGAGAAAACTCCGTTCCCCTCTCCCATGTGTGTAGTAGTAGGGGGAGAGGGATAGAGAGATAGGTAGGTGGGCTGAAGTCGGATGCAGCAGGAAGAAGAGGCTGAGGCCAGTCCCGAACGGCCTTTCACTTCCCTCGCCAGATCCCGTCTAAGAGAAGAGAGGAAGGAGCTGGGGAGAACAAGGACGGGAAGAGAGAGAGAGAGAGAGAGAGAGAGTGGGGGGGGGGAGGGGGGAGGGGAAAGAGAGCAGGAAGAGAAAGAAGGGACATGGTCAGACGCGACACACAGAACGCCGCTCGGTGCCTCTCCCCGACCGCTGCCCCCTCCTCCGTGGAGGGGAGGACACCGAGTGGGAGAGAGAGAGAGACAGTGAGACGGCACACTGCTCCACTTTACGAGGAGGGAGCACCAGCGCCAGGAGCACCGCCGGCCGCTCCGGGAACTGAGGTCGTGGCGACAGGCGAGGTGAGGGCCGCCGCGGCGGCCTGCGCTCCTGCTGTCCCGACTGCCGTCCGAGCCAGGTAAGCGGCCTTCACATCATCCGGAAGATACCCCCGGTTGGAGAGATTGCGGAACTTGTCCTTCAGATCGACGCTTGTCCGGTAGGTGGGGAAGTCGTACTCCTTGAGGATCTTGGTCCAGGCCGGGCCATACCGGCGGTAGCCATCCACCAGCTTGGTCTCCTCCTCCTTGCTGAAGGGGGGATTGGTGCGACGCTGCGGGGCCGGCGAGCTGGCCTTGTCCTTCTCCTTGCTGGTCGAAGTGGCCTGCGACGGGCTGCTCAGGGAGTTGAGAGCGGCCTTGAAGTAAATGCTGCTGTTGTTGGTGCTATTGACGGAGGTGGTGCCACCGCGCGCGGCCGTCCCGCCGGATACCGGGGTCTTGCCCGCGCGCCGGCGCTTGCTCGCCGAGAGGGGGGTGGTGGGGCTGGAGCCACCTTGGGAGGAGGTGGAGGCAGATCCACCGGTCGAGCCCGGAGGGAGCACTGCCCCGGGCGAGCGCATGCCGCTGCCCACATCCGACATGTCGCCACCGTGGACCCCCGGCGGGACACCCACGCCGTCCGGGCCGACGGTGCCACCCCCCGGCGGGATATAGTGATCACGATGGAAGAGGCTGCCATCCGGGCGAGCCACCCCCGGAGGCAGCGGACCACCAGGCGGCGGGTGCCCGGTACGGAAGACATCCCGAAGGGCCTTGGTCGAGGACAGAAGCGAGGAGGATGGCTCGGCCAGGGCGCCGGGCGTGTTGGAACTGGACAGAAGATGCCGCATGAGCGACGATCCGACCATGTTCTGGGCGTCTGGACCATCTGGCAGGGGCATCGGCGGGGGAGGGACCTGCTGGGGGGGCGGCGGGGGGGGCGGCACGGCAGCCGCCTGTGGGGCTGGCAGAACCGGCGCGAAGGAAGGCGGTGACCCGGCAAAGGCACCGGCCACGCCTCCCGGCGAGGTGGCCACCCCACCGGCGACCATGGAAGCCGACGGCGGCATGGGCAACGACTCACCCATGGCTGGCAGTGGCGGGCCAGGGGGCCCGGGCGGAGGCCCATGCATGTCGGCCGGCTTGTAGCTGAGCGACATCGGATCCTTGTTGGTGATCTCCACCAGGACCTCGCGCATGAAGAGACAGGCCATCTCGAAGGCATTGTAGTCCAGGAATTCCGACTGGAGCTTGACAATGGCCGCCGGCATGGTCTTGGTGACGGAGGCATGCTCCAGGCTGCCGGAGATGAAAATCAGCAAGGGGTCCACCACCCGAGGGAAGAGCCCGCGCACATCGTGCATGGACTGTGCCAGGAGCTGCTGCAGGGTGGGCGGATCGATGTCGGGCGTAGCCACGCTGAGGAAGGTCTGTGAAGGAGGGGGCACGAGGGGGCGGCGAGAGGGAGAGAGTCGGTGAGCGGAGGCCACAAAGGAAGGTGGAAGGAGATGGAGGGAGAGGGGCATGGGGGGGGGGGGGGGGGGGGAGCGAGAGGGGGATACCTGGATGGCCAGGCTGGCCAGCATCATGGCCAAGTTGGACTGCTCATTGAAGACAAACTGGGGATTGTAGAAAATGCTGGATAGGTGGATCTCGTTGACGATGGTGCGCAGGGCGCTCAGCAGGTGGGCAAAAGACCAATAGCCAATCCCCTTGCGTGCGCGGCTCAATGCGTCCAGAGACTCGAGGGCCCGGATGCGGCGAGACAAGCCCGGCTGCGTGGACTCGAGGAGAGTGCTGTTGACATCACTGGCGAGCATGAAGGCTGCGAGGAGACCAAGGAGGGTGGTGATGATGGCGCCGGGGGTGAGAAGAGAGGGGGAGGGGGGGGAGAGAGAGAAAGGAAAAGAAAGCCGGAGGGAAGGCAGATGTAGGAGGGCTCGGCCGGGGGGGGGGGGGGGGGGGGGGGAAGGGGCACCCGGAAGGGGGCCACAAAAAAAGAATGGGGTAGAAAAAAAGGGGGGGTGGGGGGGGGGGGCGTTGGGGGTGTGCGTCCTGCAGTGCGTTTCCTAGGAAATAGAAAGAAAGTGTTGTCGCGAAGATCCCACGTCCTTGCACTTTTCTCTCATTAAGGCTGAACTCGGGAAGGCTGGTCCTTCAGCAGGCGCACGGAATCCGGGATGGACGGGTTGTGCGAGGGAGCCACCCAGAGCGAGGCCGCCCGATGGCAAAGGTACTCCAGGGTGCCGAGGTCCCGGTCATTGTACTCGGGCGGCTTGGCCGAGAAGAGACCCGGGTGGGAGTATGCCCCCGGTGGGGGGAAGGAGGAGGTGGGGAGGGGCTGTGGGGCCTGAATGGTGTATGCCTGGTTGCCGGCAGGATGCGGCACCAGCGGGATGGATGAAGGCAACAAAGCAGAAACGAAGGAGGGGGTGAACCCTGGAGAGGGGAGAGCAGGGGGGGAAAGAGAGGGAGGGGGAGGGCGGAGGGGGAGGAGGGGAGGAGGCGTGAGATGGCTGCAAGAAGAGGGCAGAGGGTCCAGGGGGGGCAAGGGGGAATGGCGGGGAGGCGAAGTGAGGAGAGAAGGGGAGGAGAGACCAGAACCAGGGGGAGGGCTGGTGCGGAGAAGGGAGAAGGGAAGGGGGATAGATGTGGTAAAAGGGGAGGGAGGAGGAGGCAACGGGGGCCGACAGTGGGGGGAGGGGAAGAGGGGGGGGGGGAGGGAAAACGGGGTAACCCGGCTC